GGCTTAGGGTTTAGGGTTAGGGTTCGAGGTTTAGGGTTCAGGGTTTTAGGGTTTAAGGTTTAGGGTTTGGGGTTCAGGGTTTAGAGTTTAGGGTTTTGGGTTTAATTCCTTGCTGGTGCTCAAGGGGGAGTGGGGGAGTGAATATAAGTAGTATACACTTATGATTCATGATCGATTGAACTGCTCCGCGTCATGGGGGTTGCGGGGAATACCTGGGGTGTAGGATTGAGGGATTAGGGGTAAAGCCGGTAAAGCCCTAAACCCTAAAGCCTAAAAAGCCTAAACTCTGAAGGGTTGGCATAGTGTGGTGCCCCTTACTTGGGAGCAGTTGTCATCAAGAGCTAGGGTTACAAAGCAAACATCTCAGGGTCGTGAGTTTAGGGTTTAGTGGTAATGCTACGTGCAACTTCGAATCCACCTAATCAAAATGCGGATAAAACATAGCTAGCCCCTTGTGCATGATGCATGGCGTTTGTTGTCAAAGCTTTTCAGAGAGGCCCCTGTAATCCCCTCATAGGCCCTGAACCCTAAACTCTAAGGCCTAAACTCCTAAACCCAAAACCTATAGCCTATCCCTAGTATCCCCAAACTCTCCCGATGCTGGGAAGCTTTCGTACGGGCTTGAAAGGAAAGGACTACAGATGTTCTGAAATTTTGCTGTGCTAAAATGTCGTGGTTAAGGTTTGGAAGGAAAGGGCAAGTACGAACGAGTGTATATGAATTCGTGGACATGGCGGGTGATCTGCTTCAAGATTAGAGGAGCAACGTCAGAGGGATAGCGGGCTTCCAAAGTCTACGGCGGTCTGCAAGCTGCCAGGCCATGCGTGTAGCGTTCAAGGTTTAGAGTTTATGTTCAGGGCTAAGAGAGTTGTAGGCTTGAGGGTTTGTGCAGGTCCACAGCCGGAACGGCGCTATTGAGAAACTAAGGGTTGCTTGTCTTAAAGAGGCTGTTCCCTTTAAGACTGTTTGTCTTGCTTGGCCGTCTGATCAAGAGCTTTCCACGGCATAGTGAGCATGCGCAGTAGCTCACAATGGGTTGGAGGGGTTGTCCTTCTTACATCCAACCTCAAACCATGGAGAGCCTATAGAAGCTACACCCTCTCCCGCACAAGGGACAAGGCCCTGAGCCCCAAAGCCTAAACACGTCAAACCCCACACCCCTGACCCGAAACCCTCAAGACCGAATACACCCAAAATTGCTTAGAGTACTAGTCGTATTGAACTTGAAGTTCCGCAATTTTCTACCCCACCCAGACAGTAAGTAATCAATCCTATGTGCTGAACTATCTACCATATACTCATAATATGGTCAGTTAAGCCCTTAACCCTAAAATGGCAAGTCACACCAAGCTGTCGCCTGTCCAGGCATTCTCAGCACAGCTTTTGGAAACTCGCTGGCTGAAGGCTCTAAGCAGCCACCCGCAGCCAAACTGAAATGGATCCTTTCTTTAACGCTTAAGTGTTAATCGTATGTGGTAGTTTCCCAAAATAGGGAGACCCCAAAATAGACCCCAAAGTACTATAATCCTTATTATAGGGACCCCCAAAATGGTACCCCCCCCAATTTTGGGAAACCCCTAATCCCTATAATCCCCTATATAATCCCAGTTTCCATTTCATTTTCCATTTTCTTTTCCGTTTGATTATCCATTATAGTAGGTATAACCCCTATAGAACCTTATATAACCCTATAGAACCCTATATAACCCTAACCCCTAAACCCTAAACCCTAAACCCCAATTTTGGGAAACCCCCACGTGGGGAGGCAGGTGAGGGATTGCAAGGTTGAGAGGACCAAGTCTCAGGCTGAATATCTTGGGGTTAAGGGTTTAGGGTTTAGGGTTAAGGGTTTAGGGTTTAGGGTTAAGGGTTTAGGGTTTAGGGTAGGGAATAATGGGAAAGCAAATGGAAACTACTTTAGTATATTGGGACTCTATAGGGAATAATAGGAAAGAACATGGAAGCTACTATTTAGTGATTCATGAGACCCGGACCCCACATTTTTGGCATGTCTCTATTCTGGCAGCGGCCACCGAAAAGCCTAAATCCCAGACCCCAAGCCCTACTTGCAGGGTCATGGGGACTTAGTAAGTAGGTTAATAACCCCCAGAAACCATATGATAACCCCAATTATCCCCATTATTAACCTACTTACTAAGCCCTCAAATTGCGTAATAGTGGGATAGTGGAAAAGAAAATGGAAACCATGATGGGGTTAAAGCCCTAAACCCTGAATCCTGAGCCTCAAATCCAAAACCATATAGTATGATCTCTTTGGGAGACTACGGGAGCCTGGTTTGGCACATTCCTTCGCAGCCCTATTGAGTTGCCCATGCATAGGTGTTTGTGGTCGCGTTTCCAGTTCCGGAATGTTAAGCGACACTAGGTTCCATCTTCCTTTGCATCAAACATTGGCATCCTGGATGTGCTTCTGCGGGCCCTCTTTCGGATGAAGACTTCCTATGTGCAGTTTTTTTTCTCTTCTGGATTGCCCACCCCACCAAGGGGTTGTTAGAATTTAAGACGTTCATGTTCCCCCTGGCAACCCTGCAGTGCCCAACCTCAAAAAGTCGTACTATGCCCCAACTGCAAATGTCCCTGAGATGCTCAACCCCCAGTGTCCCTGCAGTCAGTGCCCAACCCCTGAAAGTCCCCATAGTGCCCGACTACAGTGTGTCCCTGCAGCCCCCAGCTTCCGAATGCTACAGTGCCCAATTCCTAAACCCTAAACCCTAACCATCAGGTGTCCATGAAGTGCCCCACTCCGGAGTCCACTCTGAAAGTTCCCACAGAGGCTTAAAGGTGCACATGACGGCAAGCAGTCCAGTCTCGCTTTGGTGTTACACTTCCCGCTTGATCTTCATCACCGAAATCACAGGGTTTGTCATGGAGAGAGCTCTGCAACAGCGCAAGCTTAGCATTCAATACCTGAAATCTAGGGGAGGGGAATGGAAAATGTCGGCCCTGGAGTTTCCACAGGGAAAAGGTTTCCAAAGCTTTGTCCTATCTGGTCCAGAAAGAAGCTCATCATCCACAAGGCGTGGGCGGGAGGAACGCTCAAAAAACACATTGAACACCTGCGTGAACACTGTCCCTGCAAGACTTTGCCTGGGGAAGCGGTACCATACCTTTAATCTGAGCGAACATATTCATGCAGTCAATAAGGCTTGCGCATGCTTGCGCTACTGCCACAATACGTGTTGAGTACCTTCACAGACAGTATCAGCATAAGTGC